TATCTTTATGGTATCCTCAGGTGAACCACCCGAGGGAGAAACTGTGGTTCTAGAGAAACTCAGTGATTAGCAAAGGCTAAGTGACAGCTATGGACAGAGCTGGAGGGGGCTCCTTGCTATTGTGAGGAGTGGGAGAAGGTGGCAGATCCTCCAAGGTGCTCCCCTCCCCTGCTAGCTTACAAATACAGTCTCCATAAGTATTCAGAATTCCCATGGATGGCAAAATTAGAGGATACTCAAGTCCCTTCTATAAAATAGGAAGGATTTGTGTATAATCTACATACACCTACTGGTGCACTTTAAATTATCTCTGGGTTACTTAACAGTGCAGTGTAGATGCAGTGTAAGTCATTGCTGTATTATACTGTTGAGGGAATAATGGTGAAACAGTAAAGGCTGAATAGATGCAGTACGGATGCAACTATTGTAAGCCTAAATCTGGTTGGTTGAATATGTGGATACAGAAGGCGGAGCCCCAGACAAACCTTAGGGGACGTGGCTGTCACCTCCTGCCTCCTGGCAGACAGGTGGGCTGGTGAAGGCCTCTGAGGACAGTAGTGTCGGGTCACTGTGAAGGGACAGGAGGGACGGTAGGAGGAACTTGAGGCAGAGTGGCAGATGAGGACCGGGAAGTTGCAGTCGCCTTGGTGGACATCGTGCAACCTGACCTGCAGAAGCGGTAGGGACAGAAGGGGGGCACTGGAGAGCTGTCAGACTCTAAGTCCCTATGTGCAGGATGAGGGTGAGCTCGAGGGTGAGGGAGACACTGATGGTCAGTGTCCTGTCTTGGGAGGTGCCGGGCATAGAGGTGCATGGGACAGGACAAGGACCAGCTTCCTGCTACGTTTCTCAGGAATGGAAGCACACATTATGTGACCTTTGTGCCTGGCTTCTTTCACTTAGCACAATCTGCTCAAGGTCACATACATCAATGCATCAGAATGTCACTCGTTTTCATTGTCACATAACATTCCATGGTGTGAGGGGGAAGGAGGGGAGAAAAAGGGGAAATAAAAAAAATTAAGATATATTCTGTACATGTACCAACTCCCCATGATAAAGGCAATCATTAAGTACCACAAGCATGTACTGATAAAAATAAGAATTGTAAGACATTCCACAGTGTGGGAGATCCCCGTCTTATCTATCCACTCATACATTGGTGAATGCTTGGGTTGTTCCTACTCTTTGGCTCCAATGACCAAAGCTGTACCTCCATTTTCATGTCTCTTGGGTGTACACCCAGGAGCATGACTGCTAGGAGCACAAATGATGACTATGTTTAATATTTTGAGGACACACCAGACTTTTTATAAAATACCCTGTACTAACACATTTTGTTTTAAAGTTGTTTTGTTGAATATTAGTATAGTAGCCCTACTTTCTTCTGGTTAATCTCTTGCCTTTTAAAAGAGATGGTTTGATCACCAATGCATAAGTACTACATGACTTAGTTGTGCACATTTTGACTTTTATAAAAATATCACCACACTAGAAGTGTAGTCTACTTGGACTTGCTCTTTTTGCTCAACATGCTATTTCTATAGCTGCCTCTGTTATTGTATGTAGCCATAATTAGCTTATGTTCACTGCGGAATGATATCCCACCGTGTCACTTACCATCACCACTTGGCTCATTCTCCCATCAGTGGGCATGTGGCATATTCCCAGCCCTCGGCCCTTTCGAACTCATTGCTGTTATGAACATTCTTTTTGTTGCTGTTGTTGTTTTTTGAACAGGGTCTCACTGTACAGTTCAGGCTGGTCCTGAACTCACTGTGTGGCCCAGGCTGGCCTCGAACTCTCAGCAACCCTCCTAACTCAGCTTTGTGAGTGCTGGAATTGCAGGCATGCACTACCAACCCAGCACGCTACAAACATTCTTATACACGTCTCCTGGTATAAGTTTTCTCGTCCTTGCAGAGAAAGTGGAGTTAGATGGGGGCAGTAACTTGTTAGAAATGTGAATTTTCCAGCCTTGCCCCAGACCTTGGGATTGAATTTAACACTGGTGCTCTATCTGGGTCTCCTAAGGCCCCACATAACCCTGATGCCTGATACATCTGGAGGCCCACTGCTCTAAGGTGGAAACCGGTGGTGAATTCATTCCTGGACCGCAGGCAGTGAAACACCCTCCAGAGTGGTTGGTCCCTGACCCCATCCAGTGGGGTGCTCATGCATTCCCATAGGGGGCTCCCCAGCACTGTCAATTTATCAGGGCGTCTTCATTCACCTGCTGGTGGGTGGGTCTGACTGGTCATCCCCACTGAGGGACTTAGCTGCTTCCTCCCCTCTCCCTGGGCCAGGCTGTGCCATGCCTCAGGCAGCAGGGCCATCCCGCCCTCCCTGCACAGGGGTAACCTCTGTCTGTCTGTCCCCACAGGAGTACCTGCACTACCTCCTGGTCCTGGAGCACCGTGCTGAGGAGCAGTTCCTGGAGCACTGGCTGAACCCTCACTGCAAGCCCCACTGTGACAGGAACACGGTGTACCCGGTGTAGGGCTCAGGGGCCCCGGGGTAGGTGTCTCTTGGGGTGGGGGAATGCAGAACACGGTGCTGGGGGAGCCAGCGGGTAGCTGTGCGTGGATTGTGGGCTGGTGAGAACGAGGCAGGAAGGGTAGGAGGGAGCCAGTGAGAGGAGCGCGGGGAGCACAGGGGAGCCTGCTGGGTCACCAGGAGGTCTTGTAAGGGGAGCGATGGGACTGTATTTGCCATCCAGAAAAGAGGACTTTGAAATCCAGATCTGGACTGTTGAGACTTGGGTTTCTCCCGCTGTGGTCAGGAACCACCTGTGACCTGTGACCCGTGGCATTCGCTGGTCATCACCATTGTTACCAGGGTGAAGACCTTTCCTCTTGGGTCTCCTCCCCTTCCCCACACCCTTCCCGCAGTAACTTCGCAGCCCACCTTCCTTCCCTCTTCCCTGGCAGGCTCTTCCTGTCCCCTGCTCCTGCCCAGCATTCCTATATACCCCGCACACCCTGCCTTCGCTCCCCTGTCCCTAGACGAGGCAGATAGCTTCTCCCTGACTATCACCACCTTATTCCCCTTTCCAAATCCTATTACACAAGGTAGCAAACTCAGTAGAGCTTAAGCCCAGTGAATTTCATTCCTCCCCTGTAATTTTTACGGGCCATGCAGGACAGGACATAATTGGTGCTTTATCCTCTGTGCTGAAGAGCAGTCATATATCTCTGTGGGTCTTTGTTTTTTGCTACACTCCCTTGGAGCAGCATGCTGTAAATTGCAGGATGCTATGGCCTCCCTTGACCCTCGTAGCACCCTGCATCATTACAAGGGATGCATTTTAACCTTGCTTTCTGGATGAGCTAAGAGCATAATGAAGCTCCTAACTCGTGCAAGGCAGAGGTTGGTATGTGGGGCTCCAAGCTCTGTGAGTTCTCTGCTTGGTCCTATGAGTGTGGAGAGTTAACTCTCTTCTCAGAGACTTAGAGGCTGCTCTGCTGACAGTGGACTGGAAATTCTTACATGTGAGGCACAGGGATGGGGTTGACGTCCCTCTCTGGGTCCTTCCAGCCTGGGGCCCTGATCTAATCAGTGTTCTTGTGCACCTGGGATCAGCTCTTGACTCCCAGGCCATTTCGTTCTCCTCTGCTGAGGACTTTTGTCATCTTCCATTACCGGAATCTCTTTCTTGGCTTCTGGAAAGCAGGACTGTGGAGTAGTTAGGGGCTCAGACTTTGGGACTGGCCAGAGCTGGGCTCCACTTTCTATGTCTGCTCTCTGTGACCCTGAGGAAATTGCCTCACCTTTCCCAGTCTCCACTTCTGCATCTGTAAAATGGGGTGAGGCTATCTGTGGAGACAGGGCTCAGTAAAAGACTCCTTGAACAGAAGTGCTTATTACTGTTGTGCGGGAGTTTTCTGGGTAGTGTGACCCCACATACGGTTCCTCAGAGGCCTCACTCCATACAGTTTCTTCCTCCACAAAAAGGACGCAGCAGCTGGAGGGACGTGGCAGCTTGGAATTTGGAGTCAAATAGCAGGTTCCCTGATCATTAGCTGAATGGGAAAAAAATACCTGACTTCTCTGGTTCCCCAACTCTAAGATGACAATCTTCTCTTCCTCCTGCTCCTGCTCCTGCTCCTGCTCCTGCTCCTACTCCTCCTCCTGCTCCTGCTCCTGCTCCTCCTGCTCCTCCTGCTCCTGCTCCTGCTCCTCCTCCTCATGCTGCTCCTGCTGCTCCTCTTTCTCCTTCACGCACATCACCATCCTAACAGTAGTTTCTCGATTTTTTTCCAGCCACTTTTGATAGGCAATGACCTGGATGATGCTAACACAGGACAAAGCTCCTTCTTCCACCTGAATTTAAACTGCGGAGGCCGATGCCTTCAGACCTCAAGATGCTGTGGGCCTCGTGGGCATGCCAAAGGTTGCCTTGGGGATAGATGGCAAATATATATTCCGCTTTATTTTACTAATCTGCGTAAATCATTAAAACTAATAGCTTCAAGTATACAGCCCTAAAGGCTCTCCTACCAGTTTGTAAGTGTGAGAAGAATCTGAGTCTTTCCTGGGGTGGGTGGAGCTGGGATCCCCGAGGATTTGGGGGAAGTCTTGCCCAGACAAATGAGATGTACTACTTAGGGCTATTGAGATTTGGTTGTCTATTTTTCCTCTGTATACTGCACTAATAAACGTTGGTGTTAAGTTTGCTTTTTGTGGTGTCTCTTCTCTTTCCTTATGGGAAGAGGAGTGGAGATTTCCCTCTCTTGTTTTTCTTTGTGACTCCAATATCAGAAAAGACTGTTCTCCATGTACACGAGTGGAAGCCAACAATTGGGTTCAGGGGCCATCTTTTCTGTGTAAAGAGAACATTTGCCTAAACCTAGCTCTCAAAAAGGACCATAAGTCAATACCAGGCACACACCCTAGTCTTCCGGCAAAGGAGATATTTCCTGGGGACAGTGGGGTGCTACTCCCATGTCCCCTCACCTTCACTGCCCTTCAGTCCCAGAGTCAGAGAGTGAACAATGAAAGACCAACTGTCTTAGTTACTTTCTGGTTGGTGGACAGAATACTTGACACCCATAGTTTAAGTTGCTCTTTTTTTTTTTTTTTTTTTTTTTACAGTACCGGGAATCGAACTCACAATGTAGCACCTGCAAGGCAGGCTCTGTGCTGCTGAGCTAAATCCCCAGCCCCCTGACACCCATAATTTAAAGAAGAAGAGGTTTATTTTGGCTCTTGGTTACAGCCCACAGTCAGCTGGTTGGCTCCAAGGTAGAGGTGGCATGGTGGAAAGGCCTGGGTAGAGGACAGCTGTTCACATCAGGGAAGCAGAGAGGGAAGGGAGGAGCTGAGGATGGGGGTATACACTTCCAGGTCACACCCCCAGTGACCCGCCTCCTCTAACCAGGCCACATCTTCTAACAGGAAGGCCACTACGTCACCCCCATGGTCACCTTCCCAAAGCCCTGCCTATGAGTGCAGTAGGCTTTGGGTGGAGGGAATCTTCTCCATGGAAACCATAGCACTAGAAAGTGGGAAGGCCAAGATGTGTGGGCTGAAAGTTTCCAGGAAAGGGGAAATCTGGCAGTTTCCCAAAAAAGCAAGCAAGTGTGCTCACCCCAAGAGGAAGACCCGGCCAAGGGGGACTGGGTGGGTTTGTCTAGGGAGAAAGTTACTGAACCTCTCAATAGGAAGGTGCAAGAAATGTGAAGACTGTCAGAATAAAAATGGAGTTGCTTTTTTTTTTTTTTTTGGGTACTGGGAATTGAACTCCGGACCTTGCACACTTGCCAGGCAGGTATTGTACCACTGAACTATATCCCCAGCCCTGGAATTGCTCTTGTCAACCCTACCAAAAAAAAAAAAAAAAAAAAAAAAAAAAAGTAAATAAAGCTGGAAGGATATAAAGGCAAACCCTGTACTAGGTTTTTTTTACATACAATATCTCATTTAATCATTGTGTCTACTCTATGGATACTCTATGGCTATCATCTCCAATTTATAGATGAGGAAAATGAGATTTATGGAATTTAGATAATGTATTTCTTTTCAAGTTCATTTGTACAAATTACTTAACACAAATTAAAGATCTTATGTGCTGTATATCAGCAGACCAACACAGAAGGCCTCGTGGGATAGTCCCTATCTATGATAGTCTATGTCTATGAACATGGTCTATCTCTGCACTTATTTAGGTCATTTACAAATGTCCATACTTAAAATCTGGGTGTCTGTAGGCTGTATTCTTCTCTGGAGGCTCTGGGGGTGGGGTGAAAGTTTCCTTGCCTTCCTGGTTTCCAGACACTACCTGCCTTTCTTAGCTTGATGTTCCCTCTTCCATCTTCAAGGCCAGCCATGGTGAGTTGAGTCTTTCTTATATCACATCATGCTGACTTCCTCTTCTGCCTCCCTCTTCTGTGTTTAAGGACTGCTGGGGTCACACTGAGCTCACTTAGACATCCCAGGATAATCTCCCATTTTAAGGTCAGTTGACTGGCAACCTGAACTCCACCTGCAACTTCAACCTCCTGTTGCAGTATGTGCTAACGTTATGTGCAGGCTCCAGGTTAGAACACTGATATCTTTGATGATATCCATGATTTTGCCTACTTTAATTAGTCCTCGAAGCTGCTGGATGGAGGAGCTGGGATTTGCGTTTAGGAAGCTCCTCATACTCTGAGTCCCCCAAACACTACACCTCTGCCCTAAATCCAATAGCCTTCTGCCTTGAATAAGTAGTTTTCTAAGCTGAGCTCCTTGAGGTCTGCACATGTGTCTTTGCTGGGGTAGAACTGCACCCTTCACCTAGTGAGGCATCATTTGAGTGCCAGACACATCCCCTGGATGCTGATGCCCAACACAGGGATTTGCCAGGTTACGGGAAGCAGAGGCAGACAGAAGGCTCTGGCTCAGGCCACCTCCTAACCTGCCTCTCAGGGTTTTCTTCAGGAAGTAGGGGCTCACTATGGGCGTGCAGGACAGAATGCAAGAGAATGGGACTAACAGGTCCCAAATGGGGATGAGAGGAAGAACACAGCAGGCTCATGTGGAGCAGGGGCTGGCGTCCAGGTTGAAGGAAAGGGCGTCCTTGAGGTGCTAGAGAGCCTGACGGTGGCCCAGGCATCAGGAGCAAAATCTCCCCACAGGAAGAGAGAGAATTCTCGGTCACCTGGAGCCTACTTCTCAGCCTCCTGCTCCATTTCCCAGAACACCCTGGGGCTCACAGTGAGAGAGCTTCGACTTCCCTTCTCCTCACTCAGGACAGCTACTTTGAGGGCAAGAGGGTGAGAGTGACAGTGCCAGAGGACATCTTGACAGCAGCAGGGAGTGGGGTTGAGCTTCCATACTTAGAGCTGGGCTGTCTGCATTCAATTTCTGGCATCACAGATTTACTGTGTGCCCTTGGGCAAACCGATTAACCTCTCTGGGCAGTAGTTCCCTTTTCTGTAAAGTGAAAATAATAATAGTTCTCAGGACCAGGAATTTAGCTCAGTGGCACAGCGACTGCTTAGCAAGTGTGAGGTCCTGAGTTCGATTCCCGGTACCCTCCAAAAAAATTCCTCCTTCAGCCGGGGATATAGCTCAGCAGCACAAGTGCTTGCCTGGCAAGCATAAGGTCCTGAGTTAGATTCCAGGTACCAAAAAAACCCCCAAACAAACAAACAAAAGAATAATAGTTCTTAGCCCAAAATGTTTTATAAGTACTTTATTGAGAAATCACCCCTTAAATCAGCTATCACTAAAAAAACTTGGACATTATTTTATTAATCAAGATAAAATCCTTTCATTAAAAGGCTTTGTATTTAGGGAGGAGGGAGAGTATTCGGGGAACTAAGTAGAGAACTGCTTCCTCTTTACTTGAGAGTTGCCGTCTTTTTGACTTTCCATAGCTATGAACATGATCTATCTCTGCACTTATTTAGGTGATTTTCAAATGTCCATACTTAAAATCTTATGATTTTCTTTGTAAAGATGATGTGTATCTTCCTTAACAGCAATCCCACATCCCTTACAGAAGTTTTAAAAATATAACCAGAATTGCTAGGGGTAGTGATTCGAGGCCAGCCTGGACTACATAGTGAGACCGTGTCTCAGAAAAATCAAAACCAAAAAATTATAACTGGAACTGTCTTAAAATTACATTTTCTGGTTGGTAATCCTGATATAGGAGTAATTTTTCTTTTTTAACATATTGATTGTACTCAGAGGCATCTGTCTTGAGAAGGTTACAGGAGCAGTCACACAGAAGATAGCTCCAAGGGGAGGCAGCTCAAGGCCTTTGAACTCCTGGTAGGAGAGGAACTCAGGTCCCTGGCGCAGTGGCTCACTGGGTGATACACCACGCACTTTAGAGGGAACTGCTCTGATGGCCCTAGTTTGGGATCAGAATGGATGGATGTTATGGTTTATGTCTGTGTGTCCCCTCCAAAGCCTCATGCGACCATGGGGCAGGCTAT